TGTGCGTGTGCGTGTGTGTATGGGAGTTTGTTTGTGCGTGTGTTTGTGTGCGCGCCTACTGCACGACACCATGTAGGAGCAGAGAGTAAGAAGAGAGAATGGTGTTGGGCGATAAATCGTGGAAACAAACGCTTTGAGCCAGCGCTCGCAGTGGTTTTGGTTGTCGTGGGTGCAGAAATGGTATGCGATGGAGAAGGCTGCAGAATGTCGCGGAAACAGTACCTAGTACTGACAAGTGAAGTAAGTAGCGTGGGCGCATTGGAAGCAGCAAGGTGAGAGAAGGGTAGGAGTGGTGTAGGCGTGATGGAAGGCCAGTGTATGGAAATGGGCGTTGGTGGGTGGGAGGGCAGAGATGCGTGCAAGGCGACAAGCCGGACGTGATGTAAGCAGAGGTGGTAAAATGCGGCAAGGGAAGGCGGGTAGAGAGAGGATGGAAGGAGGAGGCGCGGTTACCGATTATCGGTATTTACCACATTTATTGTATGGTGAGTATCGATGCAGCTCATGTAGCTGTGAAAGAATTTGGCTGGCCCGGAAGGGCCTAGATCGAAGCAAAGAAAGTGAGTGAGAGTGGGTGCGGGCGTGGGCGAGTGCGTGGCGGTGGTGGTTGTCGTCGCTGCTGCTGCGCCTGTGGCGGCGCTTGCTCCTCCTCCTTCGCCTTCTCCACGTTCCCACTCTCACTCTCCACCACACTTGTCTACCTTCCCTCTATCTACCCCGTCTCACCACACTCTCTACCCTACCGCCTGCGTCTTTGCTGCGCCATCCCTCACTTCTCTTCTTCCACCACCTCCTCCTCAGGTCTCATGCACTACCCTCATCTGTCGCCCTCCTCCTGCGCCTACGCCTGCAACACCACCACCACCAATTCCTCTTCTTCTACCTCACCCTAACAACAAGGCACTCGCGTGCATTCTCTTCCCTCTCACACACCCCACAATGCCCTTCTCATTGCCTCCACTGCCTCTAAGGCACCGGCCTTCTACCCTACTCGTCTGCTTCTCCTTTGTGCAAACACCCCATTGCGTTTACCGCCATCTTCTTCTCCA